AATAATTATTATTATTTATTTATTTACTTATTATTGTATTTATTTTCGTTTGTTATCGTCAACACTATACATACAAATTAACATTGAAGTTATGAGTGTATTTATTTCAAAATATAATAAAAAAGGGTTTAAGAACACAAAATATACAATAATGACACGAAACTGTCGAATTATCAATAACCTAACCTTCAAATTCAAAATCAAAATTCAAAATTGCCTGTGTGTGAACCTTCCTCGCATTCAACCAATCACGTGCAAGGTCAATCTGGTGACAAATTTAAAATACTCCTCCTGGTTTAAAAACAGAGTATAGATTAAAATTGTCGGCTATAAAATCGGCTATGAAATTGTACGTCAAACTTGACAAATAGGTTATAAAATTATTTGACAACAAGGTTTTATAACCTATTTGTCAAGTTTGACGTACAATTTCACAGCCGACTACTGAATTTTCAATGATTATAAGTAGCATTGGCGAAATACGTGTCTTTAGTTATTTGAGTTTTTTATGAAAACGACAATGTTTTTTAAAAAATAATAAGAGTAAAAAAAGTTTTAGAATTAAATGCCACATTAAATGAGGTAATAATGTAGTAAATCCACCAAAAGATTAAAAAAATCTGTCAAAATTTAGGGGACCATCACCCTTAATCAACCACTTAATACCTTCGATACACTCATAACGTATACCAAATTTAGTTTTTCTAGCTTAATGTATTACGAAGATATTTAATGTTTTCAAAATGTAAGAGCCAACTTTGAAGGCCTATAACTCCTCAGGGGTACAAATTAGTATAGAGATAAGTTGCATTAAATCATCTTAATTTATTGTCCTCTACATACATGTCCCTGCTTTGTGTCGGTTCTTATATGAATCACCCTGTATATTATATAGATACACAAATACTTACTGTATAACAAATCATCTCGAATGATTGTAATAAAAATGTACATAAATATTAAAAAGAATTTAAAATAAACTATTCTTACCTTGTAAAAGGTGAAATTTCCAGTTTAGAGATGACCGTCGGTCTTTTAAACAAAAATTCGAGCTTTAAAATGTTTTTTTCGACCAAATTCAGATCCAACTTATACAAAAATGAGCCTTCCTTTTCTCCCTTAAACTGCACAAAATACAAGCTCCGTTCCAACCAATCAACGGTTAAAGAAACGACGTTATCACCGATGTCGAGAATTTTATTTTTCGTTTTCGTTTCCATATTGTAAACGAATAATTCTTGCATATCGTTCAACCAAAACAGTTTACTTTCGCTCATCAAAACCCCGATATCCAACGGAGCACTAATTCCATACAATAAATCTTTGCTCTTATTCGAATCCAAATCTTGGATATAAATCGAATCGTCTCCGCTGGAAATCAAAGTAGGAATCGGATTTTCTATACTTGTATTAACTTGAATTGTTGCTGGGGAACCTTCGCTAACCGTGTAAGCTAAAATTTTAAAGAGAACCACCTCATCGGTTACGTTATTTAAAATGTATTCTTTGTTATCGGGTGGAGTGTCGCCTTCCCAAATGTTTTGAAACGTTTCGTTTCTGAAAACCCAATGGGATACTTTGTATTTTTTTATATCTCCGTTTGGATTAATCGGTTCATCCCAACGAATTGTTATCGTTATATTGGTGATTAGGTCATACTGTTTCTTGTAAGTAACGAAAGATCGTAAATTTTGTGGTTCTTCCGGTGGGGAAGACGGAGAACGAATTGAGGCTATTATTTGAGGCGCAGAAGTCCAATCCGTACAAGATCTTATTGATATTTGAATTTTTGAATATGGGTCGACGCTGTAAGGGTAATTAATGCTGGGTTGATGGACGATCTTTAAAAAATTAACGTCATAATTTAATTTTATCAATTAATTTTAAATAACTTACCGTGGCATCCCGATCTGAAAATTTCACCTCATAAAAAACGCTTCCATAATTAACATTATCGACGGGTTTCCAAGTTATATTGAAAAATTTCCAATCGCCTACAACTTTAAGTGAATCCTTATCGACTATGTCTGGTATAACGTTAATATTTTCGAGGGTAACATTTATATGATTTGAGATTTTACGGCTTGCTGGATCCAAAACGCTGATCATATGAAGATCGGTAAAACTTTCGGCGTTTAAAACGGCTATATTCTTTCCTTCTAAATTACTGATAACGGCGTTATCGTCGTCTTGTTGCCATAAAAATCGATTATTAAAGTATGAAAGGTAACCTTTAACGTCTGGTTTTTGGATACTCGAAATCATGGAGTTGGGTTCATTATCGATGATGGTTCCTGCTAAAGCCCCTTTAAAAAGATTCGCTCCATCCGAACCTCTTACAATCCAATAAACGAATTTATTTTCTATATCTAGAGTTAAACCCATAACTCTTTTTCCAGAAAATTCTCTATCAATGTAATAATGGATTAATTGGTTATCACCGTTTAATCTTGAGCAGGTTATAGCGTAACCGGTTGACCAATAAAGGTAAGCTCTTAAAGAATCGATAACTAATTCATTTGCTGTGGCAGCAATTGGTGGTTCTTTGCTTCCACCAGTTAGATTCGCTCTCATAATCCATTGTTGTTTGGACCAATATAATCTTTTTCCGATCCAATCGATCGCGATGCTTTTAACATCGTTATCTAGTTTGGGTAAAATTCGTTTTTGGTGTGACGTTAAATTATAAATGTAAACTTCTGAAAGATTTGTTAATAAATAAATTTCGTCCCTAAACCAACTACTTCCGATAAAATTAAAATTTTTCATTTCCGTTTTATCAATAAGTGTTTCCATATTTTCGCCGATCACATCTGATTTCGATAACCCATTTGATGTGGACCATAAAATGATGGGATTATTTAAGTTCTTATAACGTTTTAAAGTTCTTCCTTTAAATTCAGTTGACCATGGTCCTTTTCCTGAACAAGTATAAGCGGCAGCTTTTATAACATAATCGGTATCTTGAGATAAATTTGAAATTGTAAAACAAGTTCCGGTAATATTCTGATAAATTTTTACGTCGTTATTTTTTAAATCTTTTACTGATATCTCGTAAAGCCAACTTTGCCAAGCTCCTTTTCCTTGACCACCGAGTAAATGGGGTATTTTCCAAGCTATTTTTGCCCGGTTATTTCCGAAAATCGCTTGGACTTGAGTTGGAGGATTTACAGGAACCGGCACCGGTTGAGAACTCGGCATGTTAATAATTACTTTCAAATAACTCGCTTTCATTAACGCTCCAAATGAATTTTGAAAATAAATCTCATCGGCAGCGTGATATTCTTCATAAAAAACTTGAGAACCATCAGTCCAATAAAATTTCTTATTCGCAGTCGCTAAAGAAATAACTTTTTCTAAAATTGAATTTGAAATTTTCGGTCGAACGTCTTGAATTTCATTTCCATCCAATGAAACCGAATTGACCGTTTTTTTATTTTGATTTGAAACCAACAGTTTAAAATTGGTATGGTCAACTATAAAAGCTCCAAGATTTTTCTCGGAAAATATTAATTCCGGATGATTTTCATGCTTGATCCCGTTACTTATATCGGATAAATCCAACTTAAATAGATTACTTCTCGAACGGTTATCGTCAAAAATCCAAAATAGATATCCATTATAAGGATCAACCTCGATGTGATGCGGTTTTATTTGCAAACCTCCAACCGCTACAGTTAAACCTTGTCCATTAAAATCACATCTCATTATAGACCAAATATTCGAAATCGAAGAGTTCAATTTGAATTTCTTTTCAACTAAAATATACAATTGCTTATTTAACCAATCCACTGATAAATCAAGCGGTTGAACGCTGGTTTGATTCGGAGATATAATCGCGATTTTTTGCAAATTCGCAGATTTATTTAATGGCATCTTATAGATGTGACGCGTTGAATCCGATATAAAGAGTAACTTTTCTCTTACATGTATAGCAACTCCTTTTATCGTTACATTTTCTTCGGTGTTGTTGTATAATATTATTGGTTCGTCTGTTATTTCGACTCCTTGCTCAACAATTTCTTTATCGGTTCCTATTATAAGTACAGGTCCTTGAATATCTTTAACTAAAATGACAAATTTGATAATATATTAATATAAAAATTAAATTAAAATTACTTGTACAGGGTGTCCAAATTTCGATAGGTTTGCTCAGTTATTATGAAAGATAGAAAGTTACTTTTTTGTGAAACTTACAATGCCGTAAACCAAATTTTCATAGACCTCTTCGTTTTTGATATACAGGGAGTATTTCAAATTTACGATTTTCAGATCTCGGCTATCCGGAAACTTAGTAAAAAAGTAAAAACGGGTTCTAATAGATTTTTTTCACGTATAATCCAATGATGCACGTAGAATTTTTCTAGACATCACGGTTTTTGAGTTATAAACACAACTTAAGTTTTTTTAAACGGAACCACCTATATTTTATTTTTTTATTGAACTGGATTTTTTTCAAGCTTTTCAATGATATATAATACTCTATACTTACCTTTATAATTAACCTCGAAATTAAAAAAACCACATTATTTTATAAGTAGGCTATGATAAATTAAGTGGCGCGTTGCTAGGATACCAGAATAAACAAAGAATTTTGAAAATACTATAATATTAATTATTGACTTATTAAAAAAATGTATCTATTAAATTTTGTTTGCTAAAAACGAAAAATTATTAAAAACTAAACATTATGCAAATATGGCTTCAAGTTACAAGAATTGTTCAAAGTTGTTACCATTTTGATGCACACATTGTTCACAAAGTTTAGTAATGCGTTTAATTGCATTTAGAATAGTTATGGGATGTTGCTGTAAATGTGAAAAAGCATCAGTTACAGCAATTTTCAATTCCAATTTTGTTCGATTCTGGGTACTATATACCCGATTCTTGATATATCCCCATAAAAAGAAGTCCAAAATAGATAAATCAGGTGATCTTGCTGGCCATCGCGTTGGACCATGTGTGCCTATCCACCTACCAGGAAATTCTGCAGTTAGGTAGCGACTCACTAACTGCGCATTATGAGCGGGAGCTCCGTCCTGCTGAAAATAAATATTATTTAGCCGAATAAGAGGAATATCATCCAAAATCTCTGGCAAAGCCTCTTGCAAGATGGCCAAATAGCGATTAGCGCAAAGGTTTCCTTCAAATATTTTGTAAACAATTCGTGGCCCAATAATAAAACATGCCACGCTAAAACCAAATTTTCCTTGACGCTCCCGCTCAATTACAATATGTTGGTTTTCTTGATGCCAATGCCTGTTATTATGACGATTATAGATTCCTGTGCTGGTAAAATATGCCTCATCAGACCATATAATAGAGGAACTAAATTCAATATTATTTTGTGCATGGTTCAAATACCAGTTACAGAATTCCAAACGTCGTTCGGCATCTCCCGGGTGTAAGTGGTGAACTATTTGTTCTTTGTAGGGTTTATATTTATACTTTTTTAGAATCGCACAGGCTGTCGATTTTTTAATTCCAACTTGACATTCAATTTCCCTACATGATGTTTTAGGCGCGGCTTCCACACATCCTAACACGGTAATTTCATTGTTATTCCGATTTTCTTTATTATATTTTTTTGGCCTGGGCATCAAAAAACTTCCATAATTGATCAAATTACGCTTTATTCGCAAAAAAATTTTTGAATTTGGTTGCGCTCTTTCTGGATATCTGAAGTGAAACAATCTGCTAATAAAATGTTATTGCTGATAAATGTTGCATTCTACCTATTTATGTATAATTCAGCAGCTTGATTAACATTTTCATTTGCATGAATGTAACATGCTAGCATGTCATATTTTTCATAATTTTCATAGCGCTCCATTTCAAGAAAAAGATAATTAAGTTAAGTTAATTAAAGGTAATTAAGTAACACACGACTTATTGTTAGCACAAAATTCAAAATTAAGTTTGACAGTAATTAACTATATTTACTTTGTTTATTCCGGTATCCTAGCAACGCGATCACTTAATAGACAACCTAAGCCTTGACGTAACAGAGATGGGCGGAGCTTATATCGACTCCAAACATTTTCATAGCTAAGTGTGTTGCTAACGGTAAATCACCATATGCAATTTTTCAATTAGTGTTAAAATAAAATAAACTAAGTGACTTTTTATGACATTTCAAATGACATTTTTATTACGGTTTATCATTAGCAACTGTGGTTAGCAACGAAATTGTTTGGAGTCGATATAAGCTCCGCCCATCTCTGTGACGTCAGGCTAGGCAGTCTATTTATCATTGCCTACTTATAAAATAATGTATTTTATTCAATTTCGAGGTTAATTATAAAGGTAAGTATATAGTAGTATACAGGGTGGTTCAGTTTTTAATCGGGAAACTTTACTAGGACGTAGTACTTGCCAAAATAAACAAGTTTTTTATATAAACATAGGGTCGCAACTCTTCTGTTTTCGAGCTATGAGCTGTCAAAGTTGAGCCAAAAATTTACATTTTATCTTTTATTTCGGGTATGAGTAAACCATAGAATTTGAAATTTGGTATGTATGTACTACTGGTTAATATCTTATTTTCAACCATACCTTAAACTTCCCTAGCGCCCTCTAAGGAGATGAAATTCACAGCCCCTTTGATTTTTTTATAACAACTTCTTAACGCCATGGAATATTAACAAAGAAAAATATGGGTTGTAAAGCTTATTCATTACTAGTACTTTTTTCTCTCTTTAGTTTTTTCCTTAAAAATAATAGTTTTAACGTAAAAAAATAAAATATGCTACATTGTACTGTAAAGCGCTGCTATTATTAAAAAAAATTTTTCTTTATAGGTGGCTATGGAAGTTGTGCACTTACTAGGATCTAGTACTAACTAAATAACACCAATTAATTGTGATTTTCATAAGAAAAACCATAAATAAGATTAATGCCTGTCTGAACAAATTACGTTGTTTTAAACAATATTAAAAAATTGATACTCTGGCTTAATAACCGTCAAAAATTATTAATAACCAGCAATAATTATGAGGATTCACTGTAAATGAAACTTACAAGTTCTCAGAGCAAACTTTTAGAATAATTTTAGCTCAACATGGCGGCACATAGCAGTGCATGGCACGATATTTTATTTTTTTACACGGAAACTATTAACTTTAAGGAAAATACTAAAGAGACAAAAAAGTACCACTAAAGAGTGAGCTTTACAACCCATATTTTTTTATGTTCATATTCCATAGCGTTAAAAAGTTGTTATAAAAAAAACAAGGGGGTAGTGAATTTCATCCCCTAAGAGGGCGCTGGGGAAGTTTAAGGTATGGTTGAAAATAAGTTCTTAACCAGTAGTACATACGTACAAAGTTTCAAATTCTACGGTTTACTTGCAGCCGAAATACAAAACAAAATGTAAATTTTTTTCTCAACTTTGATCGCTCATAGCTCGAAAACAAAAGAATTGCGACCCTATGTTTATATAAAAAATTTGTGTTATTTTGGCAAGTACTACATCCTAGTAAAGTTTCCCGATTAAAAACTGAACCACCCTGTATATCATTAAAAAGCTTGAAAAAAATCCAGTTCAATAAAAAAATAAAATATAGCTGGTTCCATTTAAAAAAACCTAAGTTGTGTTTATAACTCAAAAACCGTGATGACTAGAAAAATTCTACGTGCACCATTGGATTCTCCGTAAAAAAGTCTATTAGAACCCGTTTTTACTTTTTTACTACCCTGTATATCAAAAACGAAGAGGTCTATGAAAATTTGGTTTGAGGCATTATAAGTTTCACAAAAAAGTAGCTCAGGTTCGCGAAAACCGCAACTTTCTATCTTTCATAATAACTGAGATATCCTGCAAACCCATCGAAATTTGGACACCCTGTACAGTAGCCGTTTCATAAGACGGCTAAACCCGAATGTTTCTAATTCTAGGTCTAGTCTAAGTTCTAGTGTTACTCCAAGCTTTAGTTGTTCATACCTGTTGTTTCTAATGGCGTGGTTACAGATGCAAAAGCCGCAGGTCCTGTTCCATCAATATTGGTTAATCTAACTGATACGTTATATCGACTTCCGGGTCTTAAAGAACTTATTATATCAGATGTTCTTTCAGCTGGAACGTCCTAAATGTAAAGAAAATGTTTTTTTTTTATTCGAATGTAATTGTTGTATTATAAGTAGTTCATGCAAAAGCACACATAAGCAACATTTAACATGCAGAGAGAAAGAAAAAGTATAATAGGAAATGGCAGGAAATAAGATATAAGTTTTGAAATTAAAAATTAAATTGATATCAGCTTGAAATGTAGCTTTTCCACCATCTAGAATAATTGATGATATGCATTGCATTAAAAATATGCTTTTCATTGAAAATAAGTAATAGAAAATTAATACAAAGAAAAGATAAGTGAAAGAAAATTAAGTAATTGCTTTCGTGAATTAATATTTAAGCGGCAAATAAAAAGAATTGTTGTGCAAATTTGCACCTTAAATGCTGATATGTTGGTTTCTAAGTCGATCAACCTGACGACATAGGAGAGGATTGGACCGTTGGGGAAGGAACCGGGAGTCCAGCTAACACTTATGCGAGTACAATCCACCGGAACCGCTCGTACAGAAGCCGGAGGCGACATCGGAGCGCCTTGAGGAAGAGTCATCATAACAACACTCGGTGCGGAAAATATCGGCTCATTTAATTGGTATATTAAAATTGCAACTCGAAACTAAAACAAAAAGAAAAGGAATTCTTTAAAAAATTATTTCCTTTAAGATATTAAAAACTCAACTCTATATTTGGTGTAAGGCTGAAGATTATCGACGGTAAAAAAAATATCTTTCGGCATCCAATTGGTTCTCTTGTAAAATTGCCAAGTCGATTGCATTTCTTCGTATCTCCACTGGATCAGGAATTTCAAACCAGGCATTTCCGCTTTGTCGTAATTCCATTCTAATCGAAGCGACGTGGATGTTAATGAATCGGCTACAAGAACTGGTGGCGGTGGTAATCCGAGATGCGATTGCATTTTTCCGCGAAAAATCGATACTCCATCGTTACAACCGATCAGACAATATATTTGATGAGGCGTTAAGCTTCCATTAGTACTATTCTGTAATTATATTGTTATATTAATTAAAAATAAAAAATTTTTTTATTCAATTTACTTACACAAACTAATTGGCAAGATGTATTAAGAGATTCTCTCCATGTATAACAACCATTTTCGCACTAAAATTTAAACAACGATTATATATTATTTTTAACATTCAAATTTAAGCCAAACGTAATTTTATACGGGTTTCGAACAGGATACCGCAATTGGTATACTCATGGACATTCATCAGGCTTCACGGGGCAACAATCCCCGTTGCGTTGTTCCCACGACACAATTTCAAATTATATGCAAAATAAATTAAAACGGAAGCGAAACGCGACCGTTTTGCTCCGGAAAGCTCCAAAAAGTTCACTCAAGCTCGGCGGTCGCGTTATTTAATTTTTATTCTGTTGTTTCTTTTTTTAAAAAACCCATTCATAATCCCAGTTGGGACTCGTTTAACGCTAAATGAGTTGTAATTCGAAGGGTCGTGATGGAGGAGGACAAACAGAGATGGAGATCAGTTCCAGAGAGAGTTCGGTCACTCTTCGCATACGAACAGAGCAACTGTGCTCATTGTTAAGTAGAGTTAATGAGGAAGTAGAGAATTAGGCAACCGGCGTTATACGTACATTAAGGCTTTTTTAACGCGAAGAGATTCAAAGAAAAAACGAGAATGTATCGACTTTCATAAACATTTCAGGTAGGAGGAAGTTGTTTACAGAGTCGTTTCTTAGCTTCCAGATATTCTTTGAAACGTTGACAGAGTGAAACCACAAAAAAAAATTGACAAGAAAGTTAAAAAAAAACAAGACTTTAATGTTTATATATTTATTTGTTGAGTGTTCTCAATAACGTAATCTTTTTAAATCGTAATGGTTAAGTGGGCGCCAACCAAAACCACTTACTTAAGAGACCCAATTCAAGTTAATTTTGCGCTCAATACAAATGCACTAGAACAAGGACAACTATATAGTATACAAATATTAAGTAAAAGAGACGTTAAATCAATTAATACTCGAAAAAGAATTGAATAATATCTTGGTATCTCAATAGAAAACTTAATTAATAAGGATTTCAACGTGATCGTTTCTAGAGAAGAAAATTTGATGAATCAGGTTTTATACAGGGTGTATCTGAATGACTGCAACAAACTTCAAGGGGCGATTTCGACTTCGACCCCTCCAAAAATGGCGGAAAATGAAATTTGGGGAATATGTTTAACTCATAATAGGGCACGTTTTGACCCTATTTGTACTTTTAACCTACCCTTCTAAACTACTAAACGTAACCACCCCCGTTCAATTTATGCCTAGATTTTTTGTATGAAGATGATAAATACATTGGAAAAATTTCAGTTATCTAACTGAAATCTATCTATATTATCTATCTAGATAAAACTATTATAAAACTTTTTTGTCTCTTTGATGTTCTTCGAAAAATTAATAATTTCTGAGAAAAAAAATAATTAAGCAAACACTAACTTAAGTACGAAGGCTGTCACGGCCGGTGTGAATTAAACTAAAATTAGAACTAAAACTAGAACTAACACTAGAAACTTTCGGGTTTTGCCGTGCGTCTTTTAATAAAAGGTTTGACGTTTCGGATCCCATGTTGCAACCTTCAAAAGAAGGCACTCCGATCTATAAAAGAAAAGTCAGAAATCGTCGTGTTACCAGCAGACAAGGGGAATACCACCATTGTTATGGACAGGAAAGAATACGACGACAAAATGATGAACCTACTTGACCCAGCCACCTACAGGAAGATCAAGAAGGACCCCACAGACAAAATCGTAAGAAAAATGAAGGAACTGATAAAAACCGCAGGAATTCCAGCAGAACAGCAGAAAGGTTTGTTTATGCAGGCGCCGGTACCACCAAGAATCTACGGACTACCGAAGATTCACAAACCAGACGTCGCGCCATCAACTCCCCAACATACCAGCTGGCCAAACATCTTGCAAAGATTCTGTCTCCCTTTACAGGTAACACGGAATCGTATGTCAGGGATTCTACACATTTTGTGGAATCGGTAAAAGGTGTAAAGCTGGAGGCTGGGGATATGTTGGTAAGTTTCGATGTGGAACCCCTTTTTACTAGGGTACCAGTTAAGGATGCTGTAGAGGGTCTTCGCCGAAAACTCATTCCGGAGCGATTTACCAGAATACGTGCCAGATCTGGTGGAGTACCGACGTATTTCAGCTGGAAAGGAGAATTTTACGAGCAGTTCGATGGGGCAGCCATGGGATCGCCACTATCGCCAGTTATAGCTAATTTCTACATGGAATTATTCGAAGAGGACGCTTTGAAGAAGAGCCAGTGGAAACCAAAACTATGGCTCCGATATGTGGATGACACGTTTGTGATATGGCAACATGGTCAAAAACGGCTCCAAGAGTTCTTGGATCACTTGAACTCTCAACATCCTATGATTAAGTTCACCATGGAAACAGAAACTGCCAAAAAACTACCTTTCCTAGATGTGTTGGTCACCAGGACGACAAATGGAGATATAGAACTTGGTGTATACCGAAAGAAGACCCATACCAACAGGTATTTACAGGCATGTTCACATCATCATCCCCAACAGAAGAGGTCCGTGATCCGTACATTATTTCAGCGAGCAGCGAGACTATGTGAAGGAGAGAACTTGAAGAAGGAGCAACACTTTCTACGAGGCGTGCTGCAGAAGAATGGATACACTTCGAGGGACATCAACCAGGCCATCAAGCAGCGAAANCTCTCTGATGTTCTTCTAAAAATTAATAATTTCTGAGAAAAAAAATAATTAAGCAAACACTAACTGTTAAGCTGTAGGGTTGTTAATCGAAAGTTGGAATGAATTTTTAATGAAAAAATCTTAGTAGGCTTTGCAATCTTTGTCAGAAATATTTTTGACGTTTAAATGTCAGTGGTTTTCGTACTATTATTATTGTTTTATTTGAAATTTTGAAACGTCGAGTGAACGAGCGTAAATGCGATAGAACTTTATTTAAAAATTAATTTGAAAAACAATAATAATAGTAAGAAAAACACTGACATTTTAACGTCAAAAATATTTCTGACAAAGATTACAGAGCCTACTAAGATTTTTTCATTAAAAATTCATTCAAACTTTTGATCGACAACCCCGATGTTTAACGTGCAGTATTTGCTTTATTATTTTTTTTCTCAAAAATTAGTCGTTTTTGGAAAAATTTTAGAGAGACAAAAAAGTTTTAGGATACTTTCATCTACCTAGATAAAATTTTTATAATGTATTTATCATCTGCATAAAAAAAATATTAGCAAAAATGTGAAGGGGGTAGTTACGTTTAGCAGTTTAGAAGGGTAGGTTGAAAGTACAAGTAGGGTCAAAACATGCCATATTATGAGTTAAACATATTCCCCAAATTTCATTTTCCTAGCGTTTATGGTTTTTGAGAAAAACAAATAGTACCCTTAAAATTCACTAAAGAATCACCCCTTGAAGTTTGTTGCAGTCATTCAAATACACCCTGTATAAAAGGAGATATTTTCATGTATAATTTTTTTACTTAATGTAAAGATACTTCATAATTAATGAAAATTTAAATTTGTCGTTTTGAACAAAGCGTTGCCAATAGCCAATTGGAACAATTTAGCAATTGATGAAAATGCAACCTCTTTCTCCATTAACAATTACTTCGTAATCGAAAGAACGTGACTCGTATACAGAGAAAGATCATTGTAAACCGTAGTTGTTGCGGAAATTAGGTTGTCGCTATTTTAAAAATAGTGATGTCACGAACGCAGAAGACCTCGGCTCCAAAAAGCAAAAAAAAAAAATAGAATTAAACTGTTGGTGAATTGTCGCCGCAATTAGTTCAATTGGTCGAGTTGGCTCAGAAACGAATGCTAAACGTTTATTAGTTTTAAGCTTAAATCACCTTTTCTGTCTTCGAGATTTCACTGTTTACTACTACTGTTTTGTTCAAACCATTAAAGAAGGAGTAAAAACCGACCTCTCAAGTGGTTCAAGAGTTCCCATATTTTTTACAAACGTCTGGCGCTCGTTGAGACTGTGTTTATTTACAGAAGTTATGGAGATACACGCCAAGAAACCGTCGACGTTGGGGTCAAACCGGGGTCAGAACGTCACAAACCTAATCAGCATCACAAATATTTTGTATTAAATTGATTTATACGAGCGTCAATGTTCTCGTTTGGCTCAAAAAAAATTTGAATTTTAAGATCGCCTTTATTACTGCGTTAATTAGAGGAATACGTGGAAACGGAAGCTTTCAATTAATTCCTAGCAAAACTCTTTAAATCTACGGAAAAATTTATCTTGTTAAATTCTTAATTTTCGTTAAATTGTGGTATTTCCTGTGTGGTTAACGTTAATTAATAAAAATTAATTACCTGTTCGTGGCATTCCGTTTTGTATGCGCAAATATCACCAAAGTCCGTGTGATTCTGAAATTAAAAAAAAATTAAGACTTCAATACACAAAATTTCGATTATTATTAAACTAAAAGTAGAACTAACACTAGACCTAGAGCTAGAAAATCATTTGGGTTTAGTTCAATCACTTTTAGTTCAATAAAAATATACAACAATTTAGCGCTGCATAACAATTAAAACTAGAACTAGAATGTTTCTAGATGTAGTGTTATTTCTAATTTTAGTTGTCCCACAAATATCCGAGCTTATAGTGCAAATCGGTTAAGTTATACAGGGTGTCTCAGCGAGACCGGTCATTAGACGTTTCTGGGGTTCTGGCGAAAATAAAAATTTGAGAATTCAGACTCAAGTATTATCAATTACGATCTATTCGTCTAAAATATTTTCAGATTTCTTGCACTTTCGGTTATACCGGAAGTCGCCACCAACTTTAAACTCAAATTTTTTGTTTGGCCAGAACCCCAGAAACGTCTAATGACCGGTCTCGCTGAGACACCTGTATATAATCAAAGGTGCAGACGAAAAATGTCAAAATGTTGAATGTCCATTTTTTTCGTTGATGTTGCGATATATCTTGGCAATCTACATATTGCAACTTTTATGCTGTTGCTAATAAATGTCTTTGCATTTAAAAACTCAGCCAATTCTATAGAGTTGCGTTGAAAGTCTTAATTTCGCAACAATGGTCTCTACTCAGTCAGGGGGATGAGCTTAACGGAGTTCTTCCATGGAGAATTTGCTGCGAGACCTACTCTTAGCCGTTTTAAACTGCAAGTGAATCAAATAATTAAAACTATGTTTTTATTTTATTTTATTTTATAAGTCCAATTCGTTTAAAAATCGATATATCCACTTAATATAAAATTAATATGAAGATTTCATTAAAACCACTTTTAGTTTTTGAGGAATAAATTTTTATCACATAAAAAAACTGTTAAAACCTAATTAACCCTAAAGGTCAGAATAGGTTGAGATTCGTTATAAGAGTTACAAGATATAAGGTTTGGATCTCCGTTTTATCTCGAACGTTGTATAAATATTCAGTACAAGGCGTTATTTTTACGATTTATCTTTCCTAGAGTCAAAACAACATACTTAATTAAAAAAATGGGTTATATAAATTTAAGCGGGATTTTATTATGTTTTATACACATTTATTTTTTTAGATTTGGACATGTCCCATTATTAAGGAATTTCCATCCCAATTGGTTCTGTTCACATTGAACTATTTCAAAAACACACATATTTGCAAACATTTCTTTTTCACCATCGTTGTTTATAGCACAAATAGGGTTTCTGTCTTTTTTGCATCTTTTCACACAAGAACCATGAATCGAACTAAAAACTAATAATTTTATGTATAAGTTTTCGTTAGAAATGTTAAATAAATAAAATACCTGAGATCAATAAAGATAATGTAATTACCAATTTTGTTGTATTCATATTTTTAGAGAGTAATAATAAGAATAGTCCGTATTGTTCTTATTTAATTTATTATATTGGTGTTAAACACAATGGGTATTAAACTTTTTATTAATAATAACGCTTTCGGTATTATTCAATTTTAAAATTCATTCAACAAGAACCTTCTCTTAACCAAACGAAGCCAGCCTCGCGGTTTAAACATATATTTACTTCAAACTCGCATTGGTTTGAAAAAGTGTGCAAGTTTCCGAAACGATCTGCCACACAAATTGGTCTAAATTCCATCGTACAAATTTGAGAACAACTCATTAAATCGCAATAAATAGGAAATAGAAAAACTAAAAAGTTCAAAAATAAAGAATCCACAAAAAAAGGAGCTAAAATACTTACTCGTTATAATTTTTAAAATTATCATTTTCATAACAAGATTTTTTATTGATGAGAAAGAAAGAAGTAACTAATACAATGGAATGGGTTTAGCAAAGTTTTATACAACAATTTATAATAGGATTCAAATTTGCGAATCACTTCAGGGCAACGCAATTACCATTACATAACGCTTCCACAAAACTTGTTACTTTGTTGTAAATAAAACGACGTAAATTAGAAGAAATGAATATTTTCTTTTAGTATGTGACCTCGAAACCCAACAACAAAAGTGGTAAAAAACACAAATAACTCGATGATTGTGGATCATTTTTCACTTAAGACCGATTCTAAAGAAGCTAAATATAAATTTATTGTTGCGTGACTCTTGATGTTTACGCCATCGGGGCGACTCGAACTTGATTTTTCTTTTATAAAACGCCGTTAATGTTGTTGTTATGATTATGTACGGATCTTTGTCTCTCGCAAATTAATTGTTCCGCCCATTCTTCATGTTCGCTCGTTATCAACGTGCACTTTAAAACTATAAAATCTTTCTGATTGTGACCACACGCACACAGACTCTCTTTTAAAAACTTTCCTTCCCATACAAAATTGTTTTTATTAAAAACGAATAAATTAATTTTAATTCAGTCGAATTAATAACGTAAAGTTTTTTGACAAAAAAAACCACCCCATCTTATGGTACTCAAAGTAGTAACCAATTAACTTGTTTATCATCGTCACGCTACTCTACCACGATGTTCGTTAAGAAACTTAACGTTCTTTTTACCAAGTTCCGACAGAACAACCCGCATTGAATGTCAAATATTAAGGAACAAATAAACAGTCTTTTTAACCTTCCAGTACATA